AAGTAGTCTATTCCATATATCTGAGTAAATCTCCTAACTACCAGACGAGCCTTCAATCTATCAATAGAACCATTAGGCTGCACTTTTATAGTGCACACCCATTTACAACCAACAACAGGCTTACCAGAAGGAAGAGGGACAAGATCCCAAGTAACATTTTGTTTCAAAGCAGACATCTCTTCTTGCATAACTAATCTCCAACCAGGATGATTAAGAGCATGGGTAATAGACTTAGAAATGGAGACAGAATCAAGGGAAGCAACAAAAAAAGAATAAGACATAGAGAGACGAGAATAAGAAACAAAATTAGAAATAGGATGAGAAGTACAATGCCTCTTACCTTTGCGTAAAACAATAGGAAGATCTAATTCAGAGGAGGGCGTCATACCTGGATTTGAAAATTGAGAGTTAATTGGTGAAGTGCGTAGCATATCAGGAACTTGCTCAACCATGGAACGACGAGAATAAATTTGAAGATTAGGATGAGATAATCGAGCTATAGAATCTGGTGGACTAGATAACTCAAGTAATAAAGAGGAAGGGACTGGTAAAACAGGAGAGGAAAAAGAGGGACACTGGTCTAACTCACAAGGCATACCGTGTTTCATAAAATATGGAGTGGATTCAAAGAAAGTAACATTAGCACAAGTAAAAAATCGATTTAAAACTGGACTGTAACATCTGTACCCTTTTTGCGCTCGTGCGTATCCTAAGAAAACACACTTAATAGCACGAGGATCTAATTTATTCACTCTGGGAGCAAGCTGATGAACAAAACACACACATTCAAAAATACGAGGAGGTAATTTAAACACAGATTCATGAGAAAAAAGAACGGAGTGAGGTAATTAGCCTCCAAGAATATTAGATGGCATGCGATTAATTAAATAACATGCAGTGAGAACTGAATCACTCCAAAATTGTTTGGGCACATTCATGTGCAACAAAAGTGTCCGAGCAACCTCGATTAAATGGCCAATTTTTCTTTCAGCAACTCCATTCTGTTGTGGAGTGTGAGGACAAGAGGACTGATGAATAATACCGAACTTAGTCATAAAGGTATTAAAAGGAGTGAAAAAATATTCTTTCGCATTATCACTGCGAAATATACGTACAGGCACACCAAATTGATTTTTTATTTCTGTAACAAATGCACAAAAAATGGAATATAGTTCTGAACAATCTTTCATTAAATAAAATCATGTAACTCTTGAAAAATCATCAACAAAGATTACAAAATATTTAAAACCTAACTTTGAAGCGACTCGACTAGGACCCCAAACATCAGAATGATCTAGCATAAAGGGTTCAGAAAGCCGTTTATTGACTCTAGGAGCAAAAGAAATACGATGATGCTTTCCTAACTGACAAGACTCGCATTCTAACGAAGACAACTGACTCAAAGTAGGAACCAACTTTTTCAAATTTTGTAAAGACGGATGACCCAAACGACAGTGAATTTCAAGAGGAGAAACAGTAGCAGGACATGCAATCGGATCATTGAAGTTGAGAAAATAAAGACCATTATGTTCATGCCCTCCACCAATCGTCCTTTGTTTTCAAATCCTGAATGACAACAAAATCAGGAGAAAAAGTAACTGAACACTGTAGAGATTTAGTGAGATTACTAACAAACATTAGATTAAAGGGGCAAATTGGGTACGTAAAGAATAGAAGACAGCGGAAGAGATGGGTTAACTTCTACAGTGCCTAGTCCTTTAACTTTAGTGGTAGATCCATCAGCTAAAGTAACATGAGGAAAGGAAGTAGACTCTTGAAAATTATCAAAATTTTTAGAGGTACCTGACATATGATCAGTAGTCCCGAATTCAATAATCCATGAGTCATTACCTTTTTGTGCTAAAGAAGCAGAGGGAAAAGATGCGTGATTTGTAATTTGGTATTGTAGGAATTTAACATAATCTTCCTCGGATATAGTAAAAATCTTCTGGGACCCATGTGCTGAAGAACTTGATTCAACTTGGTCAGTGGTAACCGCATGAGTAAAACTTTCAGCCATAGCGAATAACACTTCAAACCCAAAAAAAGAGTCAAAACTTGAGATGAACAGTGCCCGTGAACAGTCGTGATGAACAGTGTCTCGTGAACAGTGTGTGCGAACAGTACTTTTGAACAGTATGAGTGAACAGTACTTGATGAACATTATCTGTGAACAGTACCTTTTTTGAACAGTCGCTTGAACAATAACGCGATGAACAATATCGCGTGAACAAGACTCTTGCTAGATGTTTAACTCTAACCCTAGGACTTTAGCTCTGATACCATGAGAACAGGTATCTTGGAGGGAAAACATCTAGTCACTGTATTATGAGTGACCAACTAATATTTATAGGAGTAAAAATCTAACAAACTGTTTACAAGAATACCCTTACTAATTTATTATATACAAGAATACTTATATTCTCCTAACAAAGATGACTTATGAAAATAATAATTTCAGAACTTTTTTGATGGTCAAGAATCTCACACTCCCGTCCACTTTACAAATTGCAGCACTCATGATTTGCAAAGGTCATTTCTGCTAGTTTTTCAACAGCTTAGTTAGGTTTTGTACTGAAAGAGTTGCAATAATAAGCACACATCTCTGTGCTAATTTTAAAAGATCAAGAACTTTCTCATTAAATGTTCTATTTTTTGTTCATGATGGGGCCTTTGGCATACACCATCTGTTCCATCAACAAACTTCAAAATAACTATAAGTCAGAGGGATATATAGTGCTACCTCTCATAGCTATGAATGACAACCACCACCGGAGGGGACTATATGATTCACCTTGCAATCCATATGAAAGTCTTCAGAGAATTTTGAGGAGACTTCTATAATGTATTACATCTTATTGTGGCAGTATTATTAGAATCAGCCTCATTTTTTTCCTGTTAATGATTTAGAAGGCACCATCATCATCTCTACAATTAGAGAATTGGGCCAAACTTTTACATAGTCAAACTCCATACCTTGAGTTTGAAAGTGCATTTTTTTATTCAATTATAGGAAAAGAAAGCTTTATGCTATTGTATCACTTAAAGAACTAAGGTTTGAAAGCTTCCTTTGTTAAGTGATCCCTGTAGTTTCTGGTCTTCTATATTATTCTCACTGCTGGGTAATTTCCTGGCATGTTTCTGTCAAAGAAAATCGTGTGGTTTGTAGGGTCATTTTGGGTTTGAAGGGCCTCCATCATATCCATGATCAGGTCATGTGTTGGAGCTGTATCAGGAGTGTCAACAATCTGGCTGTTTAGTAGAGCAATTTTTTGAGTCTTGGCTTGCATTTCAATGTTGCCAAATTTTTTGTGGACTGTAGGATATGTCACTTTCATAGGACACATTTTACCTGAAATCTTCACTCTCTAAGAAATTTTTCGTGACATCCAAATGAACCATTGTAGATTCAGGCAAAGGGGATAAAATCTACCTCAATACAGACTCTTGTCACAAGGGCTAGGGTTAGGAATTAGGGAGCTGCATCCACTTTTGGTGGCCACTATAGAGCATGTCAGAGAAAATACATGATTTTCAAAGAAAGGATTGGTAAAGTCTACATATATTCACCCAGACAGTTGTCTTTAGCAGTCTTGACATTGTTGTGGAAGCCTGGTGACCATTTAAATTCCTGCATGTTATAAACTCCTTTCACCAAAACAATGTGGGATCCTTCTTCTTGGTGAGATTTAGTCTTCTATTGTTACTTCCCTACTAAAGCAAATTTGGAGGCAAAGGGAGTGACTCATCTCAGAATTTTAGGGAAAAAAAAAGAAGTAAAGAAAGGTTTGGAGTCTCCCCTCGGTGCATGGAGAGAGGCTTGACTGATGGTGACAAGATACATTAGCTAATGACCAGGAGACTTTAGCTTTAAAATGCGTATCAGACACTATAGTAGCAAAGAATTTAGTACTCCAGGCTCCATAGGATGGAGCAGCAAGAAGGTTGGTTAATTTGGAGCATGGTGTGCTGTTTTCCTCCAGTAGAAGGATGGGGGGCTGCAGCAGCATCCACGAAAGAAAAGTCTTTCTGCGAAGATGAATTTGGGAATTGTAGGATACATAGTCAAGAATCAGTAAAAGAATGAAAACTCTGTGTTTTTTCTAGAAGAGATGTTAGCTTTCTTAAGAAACAGACTTAAATAGATAATCCTCCAGCAATCAACTCAAAGGGAAGAGACACGAAATTCTATCCGTTAATCAAATGCTTTCTGTATGATTGATACATATATCTGAACATGCTTACCTGTAGGTAAATCATAAACCTAAGTCCTTTGTGGAACAGATGATGTCAAATACTAATACGAGCTAATAATACAATTAAGTTTAGGATGCATTTATAGGCTTCCATCCATTGATATGCTACTGCATGAAAATGGTCATTCAAGGAAGTAAGGTTCCATGATGGGCAAATGTAGATTTTTGATGATATGAAGATCTAGCAGGGAGTGTTACAATGACTCGTACAGAGAACCAGGATTATCCAATCATTCATCATAAATATGATATAGAAGTGATGATGGGTTAGATTGATGTGATTGCTAGTATCTCACATGTTAAGTATCTTTCAGGACCAATTTAGATGCTTATGTGAACCCACTAATTTACTGATTAATATATCAGAAGACCATAATACATTAATTTAGAAAATGGCCATCAAGTTCACACCTAGGATGACATGTACAGGGAAACAAGATTACCCAATCATTCATCATAGAGATGATATGGAAGGGACAACAGGATAGATTGATGTGATTGCTAGTATCTCACATGTTAAATTTCTTTCAGGACCAATTTAGATACTTATGCGAACCTACTAATTTACTGATTAATATGTCAGAAGATAATAGTACATTAATTTAGAAAATGGCCAACAAATTCACATGTATTTGTGTGATTCATTTCTTTTGACAAAAATATTTGATCAAATTCAAAATATTGAATTTCACTGTTCTTGCTATTCATGTCCTAACATTTTCTGGTAAAATATCACTGTTACAGACCTCCATTATCACTGGTTTGTTCATACTTCAGAATAATGCTGTGGTAATTTCTTTTTCACTTGGTCTCAGATTTCTATTATTCTGATACTTCATTGTGTATCAGGAAAGAAGCATGCTTATTCAGACTTTTATTAACTTATGCCTGATACTATCATCACAGGAACAACACCAAAGAGGTGCTGCTAATGGCATTGCCATGACAGCAATGTCATTGTTCAAAGCTGTAGGTCCAGCTGGTGGAGGTGCAATGTAAGTGTCTCTTATTTAAGATCAATTTTTCAGTTATTGTTTTATCTGATATAAAAAACATTTTCATGGTGCATCAGCTTCTGCCAGTTTGTCTGATCTGAACTGTCAATCATGTCAAAAGGCTCCAGTCAGCTGAGCATAAAATATTTTCTAGTAGAATAATCAGCATTTCTTACTGAACCATGCAAAACTAAATAAAAGATATTTAGCCATACAAATAATCTCCTTGTTTTCATATTGAATCCAAAGTCAGTGAATATCATGACTGTCAGTTACTTTCTGAATGACATGAAGTTGTTACTCAAGCCATATCAAGATTCAGTTTCCATCTCAGACCCCTCTCTACCATGTCCTCCCAAAACAGAATGGAATCAAATGGTGCACCCATTACCTCTGACAACTTATACTCCATTACCTACTTATTCTTTACTTTCATTGGGTGCCAGAGAATAATTCAAATACAAATATATACCATCTAAGGGTTAGACCTAAGTGCGGTGGTAAAGTCACTCTGTTTTCTGTTGGACTTAATTAATTTTATAAACAGAAACAACTGCTCAAGAAAATAAATCTGTGTACTGTTAGTAGTTATTAGCACTATTATATTCCTCTGCACTTGGTCTGCCCTTGATAATAGTTGTTTTCTGCACAAAGTAATGAATTTCAGCATCCTTTGACATTTGAGTCAATCTTGTTCTCTCAATTTATGCAGCCTTTCTTGGGCACAAAAGCGTCAGCATGCTGCCTTCTTTCCAGGTAGGACATTTGCAAATTTTGCTGGTTTTGTATTGTTTGATCTAATACAAGAAAATTCAGTTTTCTAGTTGTCTGAGACAATGTCCTCTTGTTTGTAGAGGACAAATGGGCATCTCCATCTCTATGCATAATCTTTGGACTCACATGTTGCAATTCATTGTTTTCCACTAAAACAGATAATCTTGGAATGCTTTGATTTGAGTATGCTTGGAATGTTTAGTTCCAATTGAAATTTAGGCTCAAACTCTGTTTGCTCCTTCTGGCAAAGCCATTTGGAATCATAATCTTGGATGCAAGCTGAAACTATTGTTACTATTGAAATTCTCATCTTAACAAGATTATTAAAAAAAAGTAAAGAAAAGAAAGTATGGCTGCTAGATCTGGTTCTGTTATAAAGCTTCCTTAGAAGATACGATGAATGTTAAGGAGAAGTTCTCCATGAGTGTTTTGCAGCAACAGGACCTTGAATGCACCAGATGAAGGAAATGTTCACCAGAGTTTTGAATGTCATTAGTTTGATTATTTACCTGGTGGCTAGTTAGATATTGGCCGAAATCATTAGTTCTCTCTATCTCTATGGGAAAACCCCTAGTTGAAAGGACTAATTCATATGGAACAATGGACATCTGATCATTCTGTTTGCAGATTTCAGGAATCTTCTCAATCAGAAGCAGCAGCCTTATGGGTGCTAGTATTCTCTCTTCATAATGATGGGATAAAAAAAGGAGTCACATTATTTGCCTGCGAGTATCAATTATACTTTGTCTACTGTGTAATGATGCTGCATTCTCAACCTCATTTTACTCGTTTCTTTTGTATTTTCCCACCCAAAAAAGAAAGCCAGACAACAAGCAAGGTTTGGAATTGTATTGTTCTAGATATTTATTATTGCAATGTAAATTCTAGAAGGCTTACCATTGACTTAGCAGCTGCTTATTGCAGTGTAAACTCTATTTGGCTATGCCTTTGTTCTTCCTAGAAAGTCTTAGCAGCTGCTTACTATTGGCTTTGCTACTGTTATCCCTTGAACTTTTCAACATAGTAATATATGCATGAACATTTTATTTGTATAAAAGCCTCTGTTCACCAATTTTTATTTGTGTATAAAAGCCTCTGTTCACCAATTTTGTTGTCTTCAATGCAGGTGTACACTTAGTCTTCTTCATCTTGAATGTAATTGAGGCAATCGGAGTATTGATGACCTTCAAACCATTTTTAGCTGACTGGAGTCAATATGAGTCGCAGAATTGAAAGTCATGATTCAGTTGAACTTCCATAATGCAATGAATCAAAGCGCATATTAAGCATGATTCTTTTGCACAGTAGTTGGTGCTGAATCTGGTGGCACCAGAATCAGAATGCTCATACTAACTGGTAGAGAGAAGGTAATTGCTGCCGTTGTTGGGAGGGGAATCATTGTCATAAGGTCATTCATCACTTGGAAGCCATTAGCATTTCGAAAATGCAAAGTTTCAGTTTACAGGTCAGATATAGATATAGGACATGCATATGAAGATATAACACTTTGTTGTAATTAACTTTGTATAACAATGAATTACCAAAATAAAACACATGTAAATATATGTAAATAAAATATATATGTATGTATGTGTGTCTGTATGTTAGTATGTTAAGTATTTTTGTCCAATCAGTTAGGCTTCAGCTACCAATCAAGTTTGTGTCTCCTCTTTGCTCCCTTTTCAATCCGTGTATTGGAGAAAAAGCAGGTCATCTGTTGTGGCCGATCGAATACATATGTTTAGTTTGGTAAGGGTTTTTTTTTTTGTGAGTTTTTGTTGTTGCCTACAATATGGACGCTGTATGAACATGAGCAAATTTTTGTCTATGTTTTCAGAACCGGACCGGATAGCGACTCGGCCGAGGTCAAGGGTCAGGGGTCAATGGGTTCGACCGGGGGTCGATAGGGGTCGAACCGGATGACGTCATAAATAAAAATTATTTAAAAATTAAAATATTATATATATAATATCTAATAATATATTGATATTAATAAAGGTATATCCATATATATTTGATGTTTCAAATATATTTAACAAGAAAATACAAAGAAATTAGAACAATCAAGTAGCAATTTATATTATTTAATAAATATTAACAAGTTTAGAATTAAAATTATGAATTTAATTGAACAATAACATCAAATTTTAGGACAATATTTATAAAGTATCAAATATTTGAGGTATATCAATAAGTTTGAACAATTTAGGGGGTCAAAACATAATATTAAAAAGTTTGAATTTTTTTTTAAAAAAATTACTGTTGAACCGGAAAAATCGGTTTTTCCCGGTCAAACCCGGTTTTTGACCGGCTTTGACCGGGTTTTGAAATTTCCGGTTTTTTAATGTGACTCGGACCGGCTACCTGGCCGGTTCCCGGTTTGACCGGCCGGTCCGGTCCGAGTTTGAAAACAGAGGTTTTTGTATGGTCATTGATGTTATCTTTAGTTTTACGTTTTTAGCTTCAAAAATTGGGAGGATTTCTCCTCTAAGTGGCATAGACTTCTAAATTGATTAAATCCAATACCTTTTTTAATTGTTTAATGTTTTCACTAATTGTATTGGGGGGCAAATATTGTACTATAAGTTGAGCAAATTTACGAATTTTTTGTTGTTTCTTTGACATTCCAAAAGTTGAGGGTGGCAATTCTAAATTTTTTAACCTCAAGAGTCCAAATAGAAGGGTCACTCAAACTATTCCAGTAAACTCAAGTTACGAAACAATTCGCAGCAAAACCCAATACAAGGAAGAAACATATGAATCTAGTTGCAAAAGTACTTGCAATTGCTCTTGGTTGTAATACGTAATGTAGCAAATGTATAGTCTGTACACCAAAGCAGGTGATATTAATGTGAATAATTAACGGTAGTAGCAAGGAGGTGTTTTATACGGAGAACCATCAAATTCCATGTATCGAGATATTGTAAATACTATTCCATATGATATACGACTTATATGACAAATACACTAAAGTAGGTGATATTCATGTGAATAATTAACAATAATAGCAAGGAGGTGTTTTGCTCGGAGAAGTATTGAATCCTATATATAGAGACAGTGGAAATACTATTCTAAGCGACATACGACTTTTATGATAGACGCAAACTAAATGATGACCCACCTTTTTTATTTCAGAAATTTTTATGTTTGTATTCATTGTTTAAATATGTTGTGAATTTCAATAGTTTTTTTTTTTTTTTTGTAGGTGAACTCTTTTGGAAATTGGAGAAACTTCAACTATTGAGCCTTGTAGTTGTTGGCCTAATCAGCAACATCCCTCAGATTCCGACTCGAAGGGACTAATCGCCCAACCCATGGAACCCAGGGGTGCAGCCCCTCATACTGGTCGAGCGTGGTACGGTGCTTTGCGCTGCCATTGTGGTTAAGGAAATAAAGTTGCGCCTTCGTTAAAAGCTATAGCTTTTGGTGCAATGGTAAGCGCTTGATCCTGACAAGTGGTATCAGAGCGAGGTCGCGGGTTCGAGTCTCCCTGGCTGTTGTTGGGGGAGGAATTGTTGGCCTAATCAGCAACATCCCTTAGATCCCGACTCGAAAGGACTAACCGCCCAACCCTTGGCACCCAGGGTGTAGCCCCTCATGCTGGCTGAGCGTGGTACGGTGTTTTGCATTGCCATTGTGGTTAAGGAAATAAAGTTGTGCCTTCGCTAAAAGCTATAGCTTTTGGTGCAATGGTAAGTGCTTGATCCTGACAGTAGTGTATGAAATCCTTTATTTAAATCACGTTTTGACTCTTGAAAAAAAAAAATTTTTTTTTAAGAGAGTAAGAGTATTCTTATAGATAATAGGTTAGTAAGCGTATTCCTGTAAATAATATATTTATAGATTTGTGATACTCTTATAAATACCAGTAGGTCACTCCAATGATATGTTTTCTCTCAAACACATATTATCATGGCATCAGAGCTATACCAAGAAGAAAGTTTATCCTAGGTTTAGGGTTACATATCTAACAAGTCCTATTCATGTGATTACTATTCATTGCTATTCATGCGATTACTGTTCATGCAATTCCTATTCACAGAGTACTGTACATCACGCTATTGTTCACGCGATCACTATTCACCAACTGCTATTCAATAGTATTGTTCATCATTGACTTGGGTTTATTTTTGGCTTTAAGTCCTATTTGTAAGTACTTGGAAATTCACCTATATTTTTCTTATAATTCTCTTATTTTGAATAAATTAATTTATAAATTCCTTTTACTACTCATTTACTCCCTCCATAGTTGTAATAAATAATAGAATTAAAAGTTTTACCTTTAGTTTTATAGTTAGGGTAAAATAGGGTTTTTGCGTATTTTGGTAGTGTGATTAATTGGTGAGGTGTGTGTACTAAATTTGGTGGTTAAGAGTGAGTTCTAGATAAGAGGAAGTGTGTGATTAGAAGTGTTATTAATAAGTTAGTGAATCATAAGTTAAAACACAAGTACGTGAGAGTTAAGGAAAATCGGCTTGAACCGACGTGCATCGTTTGTTACCGATTGAGAGCACCACTTGAACACTACTTTATTACCCTGATTTCCTTAGTTTTATTTCAGAAAAATCAGCCTCAAAATATCCCCCTAGCAGCCGAAATTATTGACCCAAGAAAAGAGAGAAAAGAAAAAAAAAGAGATGGAACCATAGTGTGACACTTGGCGGAAATCAACTAGTTTTGACCAAGCAAATTTTCTTTCCTTCTTATCTTCAATTTGGCTCACTTTCTTCTCCATTTCTTCTTGGTTGGCCGAGAACAAGAGAGAGAAAAAAGAGTGAAGAAAACTTTCCATTTCCAACCTTGAATCAAGCCTTGTTTGAGTGAAATCAACAAAAATAAACCGATTAAAGTTTCATCTTGGTGCTGAGGAAGCTAGGAGTGGTGGAACTCTTGGGAGAAAGTGGTTGGTTCTTCACTTAGTAACAAGTATTGGAAGGTATAAGATGATCCACTCCCTTTCTCTTTCTTAATCTTACTAAATATGGTATAGAAGCTTGTAATCTTGGCATATGATGGATGATTTTCTAGTTTTTGGTGGTGTAGTGAAAATTTCAGCTAGGGTTTTATATTTTCTAGCCATGATTATGTTGTTTAACTAGCCAATGTTGGTATTGAGTTTGGATATGGAATTTGTGAGATGATTAGTGGCTTGATTGTGATTTTTAACCTTAAAAGTTGAATTTTCAGTATTTGGTGGTGAATTTCAGTTCTGCCCTGTTTTTGGAATCAACTTGGGCTGCGAATTTTTCCATGTTTTAGAATGAATCAGCTTTTGGACAAAACATTAAAGTTATAGGGATTTAAGTTAAATTTCTACCTGCAAAATTTCAGATAAATTGGATCATTTTAGCTTATGATTTGGCCAGAGTACTCCGGACTACGCAAACACTCTAATTTTCCTGAACTGTTTTTCATGTGCTTCTGACCGTCCATTTTTGACCCTGAAAATGCGAAAACTGGGTGTCGATGTCCACATAGGAAATGTAGGTCTATGTCTTAGCTTAGAAACGCCATAAAATTTACCTCGATCCGATATACCTAGCTACAGTTATGACCAAAACACCGAAGGATGACAAATCTGTCACTTATAATTTCTTCTTTAAACTGGTTTCCAGCTTTGATATCCATAGTGATAAGTTTATTATTTGGTTTGTTTGGTTGGTTGAGACCTTGAATAGATGTATGTTGTTGGTTATCACTTGTGGTTGGATTGGAGGTTTGTTGGCTTGTGAATCCAAGTTGTACTTGGATGGGAAAAGTAAGAAATAGGGGAAATGTTGCCCAAATTTCTATTACTTGTTCCTATGAATATTAGTGAGATACAAGGTTTGATTTTGCGTTAGTTGGATCTTAAGTTACATATGTATCAATGAATGCACTTCAATAGTAGTATATGAGTTATTTTTGACCAAGATTTGGTATCAATTAAAATGAAAAGTGTTAGTTTTATCTCGAAAACTTTGAATTATATTTGCTCACTTCAATTTGAGATTGGTTGTTCTTTCAACTACTGATTTTTGGAATTTTTTTTCGTTATGTTTGAATTTGAGAAATGACTCAAGATTTTCATGACTTGGAAGTTCAAATGTTATTATTCACTCTAAAACTGTATTTTCATATTTGCACTAGTAATTTCTAGATTTTTGATGATTCATCTAGATTTTGATTAGTTGAACCATAATACCTTATTTTGACTGATCTAGGTTTCTTTGGTGATCCGGAGTACAATTCGGAAGGAAACTTTTGACATATCTTTTGCTCATATTGATAAGTGTTCCAACTGCATGTTACTTGCTCATTGTTGCTAGAAATTTACTAAACACGTGATTTGACATTTCATAGGCGAGTGTGCCCTTATTCATACTCGTCCTCCCCTTCTTGAATGATCTTGTACTTGTTCGAATCTGATTGACTTGTACTTGTATTTGTACTTGTGCTTGACTTATAAGTGCTGAGCTGCAGCATGTACCACACTCAATCCGAGTGGGAGGTGCCTCTCATTCCGTCTCCGTACTTTTCTCTTGATTAAGTCGATTGGTCATCGATTATACTGACTACTTGGAAACCCAAACCCCACTGGCTAGTTAATCGAGTCGAGCCGGCAAGGGCTTGGGCGATTAGATAACGAACCATGGGTCTCTAGTTTGTCGAGTGGA